CATGTGAGTCAGTGTGCGTGTGTGAGTGTGTGTGAGTGTAAGAGTGTGAGTGTGTGAGTGTGCGTGTGAGTGACTGTGAGCGTGAGTGAGCGTGTGCATGTGAGTGAGTGTGCGTGTGTGAGAGTGTGTGTGTGAGTGTGCGTGTGTGAGTGTGTGTGAGTGTAAGAGTGTGAGTGTGTGAGTGTGCGTGTGAGTGACTGTGAGCGTGAGTGTGCGTGTGCATGTGAGTGAGTGTGCGTGTGTGAGAGTGTGTGTGTGAGTGTGTGAGTGAGTGTGTGCATGTGAGTGAGTGTGCGTGTGAGTGTGAGTGAGTGAGTGAGTGAGTGAGTGAGTGAGTGAGTGAGTGAGTGAGTGAGTGAGTGAGTGAGTGAGTGAGTGAGTGAGTGAGTGAGTGAGTGAGTGAGTGAGTGAGTGAGTGAGTGAGTGAGTGAGTGAGTGAGTGAGTGAGTGAGTGAGTGAGTGAGTGAGTGAGTGAGTGAGTGAGTGAGTGAGTGAGTGAGTGAGTGAGTGAGTGAGTGAGTGAGTGAGTGAGTGAGTGAGTGAGTGAGTGAGTGAGTGAGTGAGTGAGTGAGTGAGTGAGTGAGTGAGTGAGTGAGTGAGTGAGTGAGTGAGTGAGTGAGTGAGTGAGTGAGTGAGTGAGTGAGTGAGTGAGTGAGTGAGTGAGTGAGTGAGTGAGTGAGTGAGTGAGTGAGTGAGTGAGTGAGTGAGTGAGTGAGTGAGTGAGTGAGTGAGTGAGTGAGTGAGTGAGTGAGTGAGTGAGTGAGTGAGTGAGTGAGTGAGTGAGTGAGTGAGTGAGTGAGTGAGTGAGTGAGTGAGTGAGTGAGTGAGTGAGTGAGTGAGTGAGTGAGTGAGTGAGTGAGTGAGTGAGTGAGTGAGTGAGTGAGTGAGTGAGTGAGTGAGTGAGTGAGTGAGTGAGTGAGTGAGTGAGTGAGTGAGTGAGTGAGTGAGTGTGTGAGAGAGTGTGAGTGTGAGTGTGAGTGAGTGTGTGAGTGTGCGTGTACGTGTGTGAGTGTGTGTGTGTGTTCTAAACGCTGCTTTTTTTTTCGTCAGACTCTATTGTGATTGGTTTCTGGGTCGGACTGGCCGTGTTTGTTATCTTCATGTTCTTTGTTTTGACGCTGCTGACCAAAACAGGAGCTCCACATTCAGAGTGAGTAAAACACACACACACATTATTAAATATATGTGGATAGCATTTGATTTTTTAGGATTTTGATGATAAATGTGAGTTTATATTCAGATCTCTGACTTTCTGACTTCCACAACGTTGTTCAGATCTTTTCTGAAACTTTAATATGAAACTTTAACCCTCATAACACATTCATGTCAGTTTTGACCTGAAAGATATATATATATATATATATATATATATAGCATAGTTTTTAGTAAGAGAACAACATTTTGTAAACACTTTAAGAGCCTCAAAATACACTACTTGTTTTCAGTTTTTAAATTGTTTAAAGAGGTTTAATAATTTAAAATGTTTGGGTCATTTTTGACCCGGTGTGTATGGAGCACCAATAGTGTCAAAAATGCTTTCTGTTAAATGATCTATGGAGTTATATTAGTGTCAAAAACGTTTGTGAAATCTATTCATCTTATATCTCACACATTTTTGGACTAAATTTTGTGAACATGAATATGTACATCTATTGAGATGGAAAACTGATCATTTTTTAATCTGAAAGTGAAAGTTTATGCAACATATATATGTAGTATAATAAATATGAAGATTTTATAAGTTTGGACTGATTTTAAGCTATTCAAAGGAATCGAATTAATTTCCATTCATTCCACTGGTAATTCTCAGATTATATGTTCTTTTAAATTTCATAGAATGATACATTTTAAATAAAAGGTCTCATCAATATTGAAAAAAAATCTATATTTTGCATCATATATTTTTTGGTGTGGTTCATGTGTAATTTGAGATTTAACAAAAAATCAAAATTTTCAATATATAAAAAAGGTGTAAATGCAGTATTAATATGGTAACATTCAAAACTCTTTTTCACTTTAACTCTTTAAACGAGAAGTTGCCGATCAGATCAAATATGGTTGAAAGTTCTGACTGTTTTATGAAATAATGTGAAAACAGTGTTGATTTTGAAAGCATTATGAGATATTAAAGAGATCTCATCAGTCAGAGAGTGTGAGTCTTTGGGACTATAAATAAAATCCCACACAATACTGGAGCAGTTATTATGCCAAACTCACAGACTGTCCATAATTCACATGCACACACACACACACACACACACACACACGCTTAATGACACACTACATGCTGCTTTTTTTCAGATTTGTTATTGTAATCACATGCGCCTCCATAGAAACAGTCTTGATGAGTCCACGACTGATTAGAGTGAGTCTGTAATCACATATTCAAATGAGCAGAAACACTTCAGCTGCTGCATATATTACCGCAAATGAGCCCTGATTTAATTAGTCATACAAATGTGCTGTTCACCTAAATCATATAGCAGACATGGAAAAAATATAGATTTAAAAATGATTTAAGTTTCTACTACACTAAAAAACAAATTGGTGTAAAAACAATTTTTACACTCAAAAATTGCTAGTAAATTTAACAAACAATAACAAAAATGAACAGATTGAGTTAAACATTAAATTTTGAATTAGAAGAATCTGAAATAGCATTTTCTTGTAAAACATACTCGAATTGCCTTTGTTTTATTCACAGCTTCGAAAACCTGCTTATTACAGTGTATATAAAAAATATTTTTTTTAAAATCTGAAAATATATTTTGTGATATTTTAATAGAAATATTAGCACATTGCATTTATTAATATAAAAAGCTTTACATTTAATTTTAAAAAAAATGTAAATTAAAAATATAAATTGTAATTAAAATGAACATTTATGCCAAAATGGCATAAATCAGAAAGTCACTCATAAAGTTAGTTGGGGATCACGTTTTGGTATGTAGTTACTGATATTTCCCATATATTAAATATAAAAAAATTGTTTGATTAATTTTGAATGATTACATACAACCATATAACCTTGTAAAAATGAGAAAATGTAAATGAATGTAAATGTTAAATGAAAAATGTAATCTTGTGTTTCTGTTGTTGTTGTTTTTTTGTCATTCAATTAGTTTTTTTTTTTTTTTTTAAATATGTCTATAGAGTTTTTAGGGTTTTTTTAAATGAAAATGAGAATTTTTTTCTTTAGCTGAAGTAAAAGTACTTTTTAAATATTTTATTTTAGTTGATGTTTATTTTCTTTCAACTAACAAAGATGTTTTCGATGAGAAAATGCAGTGAGATTATTGAAGTTCAACCATACAATTGTGAAAAAAAATGCAATGAGAGTTAAATTCATATGGTTGTGTAGTTATATAAAAAAAATTTAAATTTTACTCAAAATCTAAATGTTTAATTTATATTAATGCAAATTTTTATATGTATTAGAAATGTTAAAATGAAATACATTTTAATATTTTTAAATATAAATTTAACTTTTATATTTAACTTTTAAAATAGGAAAATGCATTAAGATAATCTAATAGTCACAAGTTTCACGTAAACAAACACAAAGCCTCAGTCTGTCTGTGTTTCTCCGCAGGATCCCTGATCCCAGTGAAAAGCATCATGGTCTAGCTGACTGTGTGCTGGAGCTCGGCGGCTCTCAGGCGTTTTCTCTCCCGCCGCTGCCGGACGAATCACGTTCCCTCTTTCACTTCTACATTCACGAGGAGGCCGTCAGAGATGCTGTGATTGGCCGAGGGAGGCGTTGTGGGCGTGGCCCCGAGCTCCGCCTCCAGGGGGCGGCAGAGGACGAGAGAGGTGATGAAGACGAGCACTTCCTGTCCGACTTCCACATTCTGAACTTCGTGAGCTCCGAGCAGAACTCCAGCATCTGCAACGATGACGTCCTGCTGTGTGAGCCGTCAATCATCACAGACAGCCAATCGGCAGCTCTGAAGAGCTTAGAGCCCGCCCACACTTCCTATGATGTCATCAGACACTAACACACAGACTCACTTCTCACAGGGACAGTGACTGATTTTTAATAAGCTGCTTATTTTCAAGAAATGCAAATTGAAATGAGGATATATGGCTCGTTTTTATGCAGTAGATTATATTAGTGATCACAACATTTCTACAAGACTTTCACTATAAGGTATTCTGAACTCTGTGACTTTATTTAGAGTTTTTTTTTTTTTTCATTTTTATAAATTCTTTATTTTCTTTATATAAGAGATTATTTTCTCTTGTGGACTATATGTGAACATCTTTTATGTGAAATATCTTATTCAGCTCAGTACTAAATAAACAATAACATGCATTTTGTATGATCCCTCTTACTTTGGTAAAATAATTAACATTTTGCAGATTCTGAAACTTTTGACCTCAACTGTATGTTTATAACAGTCGCTGTTCCTTCTGAGGAAAGATGAGAGACGACTTGTGTGTCTCTGGAGGAGTAAACACCGTCATTAACGCATCTAAAAACCACCAAACACAAGGGTGGCAATGCAAAGCATTCTGGGTAAGAGAACCGAAGAGCTAAAATGAGAGATTTATTCCAGTGTCCCGCGTCTCTCACAGGTCTATAATGAGCGTAATGGCACAGGCAGCGAGGACACGGCACTTATAACGGAGGAAAGAGGGGAAATGTTGTTTCCATGGAGATGAGAGTAATGTGTTATAATAGAAAAGAACATTCATATCACTCTTATGCGATCTCTTTTGAGATTTCACCTTGGTTTTCTTTGTTATGGAAATAAAGCAGCCCAGAGAAATCATATGAAGCAAAAATGATGAAGCTTGTGTAAATTTAGATGTGGATATCGAGTTGTAAGACTCAGAAAAGGTTCATGATCACTATGCATTTATAAAACAATGATCATCTTCAGAATAAAACACACACACACGTCTACAATTGACTATAGTGTTTGACATACTGTAGTCTGTTACTATGGAAACAGAGCGGGATGGAGAGTGAGGGACTATTGGATTCAAAGGTTACATCCCATAAACACAAACAAACACACACACACACACACAAACACACACTCACTCACACACACACACTCACTCACTCACTCACTCACTCACTCACTCACTCACTCACTCACTCACTCACTCACTCACTCACTCACTCACTCACTCACTCACTCACTCACTCACTCACTCACTCACTCACTCACTCACTCACTCACTCACTCACTCACTCACTCACTCACTCACTCACTCACTCACTCACTCACTCACTCACTCACTCACTCACTCACTCACTCACTCACTCACTCACTCACTCACTCACTCACTCACTCACTCACTCACTCACTCACTCACTCACTCACTCACTCACTCACTCACTCACTCACTCACTCACTCACTCACTCACTCACTCACTCACTCACTCACTCACTCACTCACTCACTCACTCACTCACTCACTCACTCACTCACTCACTCACTCACTCACTCACTCACTCACTCACTCACTCACTCACTCACTCACTCACTCACTCACTCACTCACTCACTCACTCACTCACTCACTCACTCACTCACTCACTCACTCACTCACTCACTCACTCACTCACTCACTCACTCACTCACTCACTCACTCACTCACTCACTCACTCACTCACTCACTCACTCACTCACTCACTCACTCACTCACTCACTCACTCACTCACTCACTCACTCACTCACTCACTCACTCACTCACTCACTCACTCACTCACTCACTCACTCACTCACTCACTCACTCACTCACTCACTCACTCACTCACTCACTCACTCACTCACTCACTCACTCACTCACTCACTCACTCACTCACTCACTCACTCACTCACTCACTCACTCACTCACTCACTCACTCACTCACTCACTCACTCACTCACTCACTCACTCACTCACTCACTCACTCACTCACTCACTCACTCACTCACTCACTCACTCACTCACTCACTCACTCACTCACTCACTCACTCACTCACTCACTCACTCACTCACTCACTCACTCACTCACTCACTCACTCACTCACTCACTCACTCACTCACTCACTCACTCACTCACTCACTCACTCACTCACTCACTCACTCACTCACTCACTCACTCACTCACTCACTCACTCACTCACTCACTCACTCACTCACTCACTCACTCACTCACTCACTCACTCACTCACTCACTCACTCACTCACTCACTCACTCACTCACTCACTCACTCACTCACTCACTCACTCACTCACTCACTCACTCACTCACTCACTCACTCACTCACTCACTCACTCACTCACTCACTCACTCACTCACTCACTCACTCACTCACTCACTCACTCACTCACTCACTCACTCACTCACTCACTCACTCACTCACTCACTCACTCACTCACTCACTCACTCACTCACTCACTCACTCACTCACTCACTCACTCACTCACTCACTCACTCACTCACTCACTCACTCACTCACTCACTCACTCACTCACTCACTCACTCACTCACTCACTCACTCACTCACTCACTCACTCACTCACTCACTCACTCACTCACTCACTCACTCACTCACTCACTCACTCACTCACTCACTCACTCACTCACTCACTCACTCACTCACTCACTCACTCACTCACTCACTCACTCACTCACTCACTCACTCACTCACTCACTCACTCACTCACTCACTCACTCACTCACTCACTCACTCACTCACTCACTCACTCACTCACTCACTCACTCACTCACTCACTCACTCACTCACTCACTCACTCACTCACTCACTCACTCACTCACTCACTCACTCACTCACTCACTCACTCACTCACTCACTCACTCACTCACTCACTCACTCACTCACTCACTCACTCACTCACTCACTCACTCACTCACTCACTCACTCACTCACTCACTCACTCACTCACTCACTCACTCACTCACTCACTCACTCACTCACTCACTCACTCACTCACTCACTCACTCACTCACTCACTCACTCACTCACTCACTCACTCACTCACTCACTCACTCACTCACTCACTCACTCACTCACTCACTCACTCACTCACTCACTCACTCACTCACTCACTCACTCACTCACTCACTCACTCACTCACTCACTCACTCACTCACTCACTCACTCACTCACTCACTCACTCACTCACTCACTCACTCACTCACTCACTCACTCACTCACTCACTCACTCACTCACTCACTCACTCACTCACTCACTCACTCACTCACTCACTCACTCACTCACTCACTCACTCACTCACTCACTCACTCACTCACTCACTCACTCACTCACTCACTCACTCACTCACTCACTCACTCACTCACTCACTCACTCACTCACTCACTCACTCACTCACTCACTCACTCACTCACTCACTCACTCACTCACTCACTCACTCACTCACTCACTCACTCACTCACTCACTCACTCACTCACTCACTCACTCACTCACTCACTCACTCACTCACTCACTCACTCACTCACTCACTCACTCACTCACTCACTCACTCACTCACTCACTCACTCACTCACTCACTCACTCACTCACTCACTCACTCACTCACTCACTCACTCACTCACTCACTCACTCACTCACTCACTCACTCACTCACTCACTCACTCACTCACTCACTCACTCACTCACTCACTCACTCACTCACTCACTCACTCACTCACTCACTCACTCACTCACTCACTCACTCACTCACTCACTCACTCACTCACTCACTCACTCACTCACTCACTCACTCACTCACTCACTCACTCACTCACTCACTCACTCACTCACTCACTCACTCACTCACTCACTCACTCACTCACTCACTCACTCACTCACTCACTCACTCACTCACTCACTCACTCACTCACTCACTCACTCACTCACTCACTCACTCACTCACTCACTCACTCACTCACTCACTCACTCACTCACTCACTCACTCACTCACTCACTCACTCACTCACTCACTCACTCACTCACTCACTCACTCACTCACTCACTCACTCACTCACTCACTCACTCACTCACTCACTCACTCACTCACTCACTCACTCACTCACTCACTCACTCACTCACTCACTCACTCACTCACTCACTCACTCACTCACTCACTCACTCACTCACTCACTCACTCACTCACTCACTCACTCACTCACTCACTCACTCACTCACTCACTCACTCACTCACTCACTCACTCACTCACTCACTCACTCACTCACTCACTCACTCACTCACTCACTCACTCACTCACTCACTCACTCACTCACTCACTCACTCACTCACTCACTCACTCACTCACTCACTCACTCACTCACTCACTCACTCACTCACTCACTCACTCACTCACTCACTCACTCACTCACTCACTCACTCACTCACTCACTCACTCACTCACTCACTCACTCACTCACTCACTCACTCACTCACTCACTCACTCACTCACTCACTCACTCACTCACTCACTCACTCACTCACTCACTCACTCACTCACTCACTCACTCACTCACTCACTCACTCACTCACTCACTCACTCACTCACTCACTCACTCACTCACTCACTCACTCACTCACTCACTCACTCACTCACTCACTCACTCACTCACTCACTCACTCACTCACTCACTCACTCACTCACTCACTCACTCACTCACTCACTCACTCACTCACTCACTCACTCACTCACTCACTCACTCACTCACTCACTCACTCACTCACTCACTCACTCACTCACTCACTCACTCACTCACTCACTCACTCACTCACTCACTCACTCACTCACTCACTCACTCACTCACTCACTCACTCACTCACTCACTCACTCACTCACTCACTCACTCACTCACTCACTCACTCACTCACTCACTCACTCACTCACTCACTCACTCACTCACTCACTCACTCACTCACTCACTCACTCACTCACTCACACACACACACACACTCTCTCTCTCTCTCTCTCACACACACACACTGATTTCCAGGTGGTCTAAACTGGTCTTGAGCTGGTTTTTAGTTCTTTAGTAGTTGTTAAATAACAATAACTAAAACATTGTTTTTGTAGATTTTGACTTTTTTTTTTGTAATTTTTTTGTAAATATATACGTATACCTGGAATGAAAAGTTATGTAAAGTTACTAAATCTACAACTGAAATAAATATAAATTAAAAGTAAAAAAAAAAAAATATATATATATATATATAGCCTATTATTTGGAAAATTTACAAAAAATGACAAAAGCACTAAACAAACTAAAACTTAAATTGAAACGAATCCTGACAATATAAAATACTATCTAATTCAAAATGTTTATAAATATTTTAATAGTATAGAAATAATACTAAAAAGAAAATGTACCAGGTTTTATATATATATATATATATATATATATATATATAGCCTATTATTTGGAAAATTTACAAAAAATGACAAAAGCACTAAACAAACTAAAACTTAAATTGAAACGAATCCTGACAATATAAAATACTATCTAATTCAAAATGTTTATAAATATTTTAATAGTATAGAAATAATACTAAAAATAAAATTACATTTTATTAATATTTCTAAGTTATGAAAAATTTTTATTTCTAAATGTTCTCAGAACGTTTAAATGTCCAGTTTATTTAAATGTTTTAAAATTATTTTTGGTCGTACAAACATTAAGGGAACATTCCATTTTATCATTTGGCAAACATTACAGGAACGTTACTAACAGGAATGTTGTCTGAACGTTCTGAAACAAGTAGCGGCTAACATTTAAAAGACAAACAAACCGTTTCAGAAATACAATCCATGAACAATGTAGGCTATGTGCTAATATTTTGAGAACATTATTAAAAATGTTTGTTCATAACTTTGAGAGAACCGTTCTGAGAATGTTACTTGTTAGCTTTGTATGACCAGCTGGTAACTGGTTTGTTGCTGGTCCAAGATGATCTATTAGACTACTAGCTACTGTCCTAATAAATAATTGTTTTTATTGGTTTAAATAAAACTTCCACACCACTAGAGAAAGGTCTGTTAGTTAGTAGCTAATAACGAGCAGCTGTGATGCGGTTGTGTCGCCAGCAGGTGGCGCTCGCGCTTCTAAAGCTGAACTAAAGCTCTCTGTGAGTGTGTGTGTGTGTGTGTGTGAAGCCCAGAAACTGTGTTTGTGTTTGGTACAGACTCTGCCCTGCCATCTGGATCGCATTTCAGACCCCAGGAACCGAATATGTGCGGTTAAAGTGAGTCACGGCACCGTAACGCGCGAGAAACACAGCTAAGTCATTAAAGCTGAATTTTCCTCTGTTGAATGTGACTGTACAGACAGACGTGTGTTAAGGAAAGGCTTAAACATCACTTTTTCCAGCTCAGGGAACCTTTAGAAGAACAGTTCAGTGCCAGGCATGTTTAGAATCATAACGGGAATGGACGGTTACATTTACATATAGTGTGGGAATATGCAAATATTTTTGCAGAGACACATTTATGTGGCCCTATATAAATAAATAACAGCATAATAAATGTAAAATGGCCAAAATAACAAACACAAAGACACGTACAAGAGTGACCATGTGTGTGTGTGTGTGTGTAATAGTGACCATGGTTAGTAGTAGTATTTGTAGTAAAACCATGGATAATTTTCGTAAGGGTTTTCTTGCTATGATGTTATTATGACTCATTCATCCCTGTAGAACTCTATTAGCTGTCTAAGACCAGGCTGAGATACTAGTTTTCTTGCAAATACATTTGTTGAACCTTCATCCATATGTAGTTTTTTTTATATATATAGGCTATATATATTCCTATTGTAGGTATAATGCAAGCAACCATTGGAAAGCAATGACCCAAAAACCTCCATAACTCTATTGAACATTAACCTGTCTATCAGTCCATAAAAACATCAAGTCAAAGCAAGTTCCCACAGACTGAGAGATTCTTTTCATTTGTTTCCCTGCTCATTAAAGCATTTATACTCTGTGGTGTCAACGCCAAAGTCTAACCGTGGGTGTGGAGGCCTTGCATACATTAATAATTCAGTGTGTGTGAGTGTGTGTGTGTGTGTGTGTGTGTG